TCCTGATAAGGCTCTGGGCCTGATCACAAAAGCTCAAACCCAACTTAATAAGCACCCCAAATTCCAAGAAATACCATCGTCCCTAGTCCTCCTCAATAACCCTATAAAAAGGAACTGTCCTTAACTACCTGCAGGCCATTTTTACTCTCTCTGTGTGTCATCAGGTCACTCGGCATCCCTCTCAGACCATGCAATAAAAAAATTTCTATCTGTATGTTAATCATCTTTCCTCAGACTATTCTCTCCTTCCTTACCCTGCATTCTATCATTATGCATGTCCAGACTATTAACTGCAATACATATAATGTCTGTTACCTGCTTAAAAAAATTTAGTTATACATTATTAACATTTTGGTCATAAAATACAATAGTATCACTTCATTTCCCACATTTTCTATTATAAATAACATGATAGTGTTCTTTGCAATTTTGTACCCCTAAATATTTCTTTAGGGCATAGAGAGTTTCTTTTTTTTTCTTTCTTTTGGTAATTGTTTTTTCTTGTTGTGTACTGTCAAGGAGGATCAAACTGACACAGGAAACTGCCCATCCTTCTCCAGCAAGCGTCTGGTAGAGTTGAACCATATACCTTCGGGATTGCAGTGCAGTTTCTTGTCACTAGGCCACCAGAGCTCCCTTTAGAGTATGAGTTTTAAAAGCTCTCAATATAGACAGTTGCTTTCTAGGAAAGCTGGGCCAGTATCAGGTTTTCTGGCAGCAGGGTAGAAGTCACTCTATTCTATCTACTATATTCTATCCCTTTTTTAAATGGCTTACTCTACTATGTCACACTCTGCTGTGAAGGTTATTAAGAATCACTGCATATTTTAAACAGACAAATAGTCAGATTTGCATTTTTTTAAAATTCTAGCTTCAGAAAAGAATAGCTTTGCCTGTATCATTTAGCCCCTAGAAAGCATTCTAGATAATGGTGACAATAAAGCGGAGCAAATTTGAATGGCAAAACAACAAGGAGGTCTCTGACTTGTTGCTAAGGAGAAGTAAATCAAGACTTCAGATCTGCTATGCAGAGGCTGGTAGAAGGAATCCTCACTGGACCATGTTTACTTCCTCACAGCTGTTACTAACGTTGGGCATCTACTAATGCCTCTTTACTGTTTGTTACTGCCAGGATCAAAGATTTCAGACTTCTATATGGATCACATTTCAACATAAAAAATCATCGCTTTCTATGAAGATGGCGCCGAAAGCCATGAAGGAAGCTCCTGCCCCTCCCAAAACTGAAGCCAAAGCAAAGGCATTAAAGGCCAAGAAGGCAGTCCTGAAGGGCATCCACAGAAAAAAAAAAAAAAGAAGATCCACACATCACCCCTTCCAGGGACCTAAGACACTGAGACTCCGAAGGCAGTCCAAATACCCCCGGAAGAGTGCCCCCAGGAGAAAGAAGCTTGACCACTATGCCATCATCAAATTTCCCCTGACCACTGAGTCAGCTATGAAGAAGATAGAAGATAACAACACACTTGTGTTCAATGTGGATGTCAAGGCCAATAAGCACCAAATTAAACAAGCTGTAAAGAAGCTCTATGACATTGATGTGGCTAAGGTCAACACTTTGATTAGGCCTGATGGAGAGAAGGCGGCCTATGTTCGACTTGCTCCTGATTATGATGCTTTGGATATTGCCAACAAAATTGGGATCATCTAAACTGAGTACAGCAGGCTAATTCTAAATAAAATTTTTCTCACCAAAAAAAAAAAAATCCTCACTACTGGACCAACAGGCATTATCATGACAAACAGAGAAAAAAACAGAAGTTGTCCATAAGTTCATTTTACTTGGATCAACAATCAACCACCCTAGTGGCAGCAGTAAAAAACAAACAAAAGAAATATGTTGCATTAGTGAAATCTATTGTCAAGGAACTCTCCAAAATACTGAAGATCAAGTACATCACTTTAAAAACTACGGTACACTGGAGATTAAAGACAGAATTTTGTACAATGAATGAGTTAGTCATTGTCAATATTTTTAAAAAATCATAAAAGATAACTATACACATGGATTTCACCTGATGGAATACACAGAATCAAGAGTGACATCTGCAGAAGGAAATACTGGAGAAGCTCATTATCAGCAGTCAAAACCAGGACAGGACTCATATGTGAATTCAAACTGAAGGTGAAGAAAATGAAAACAAGTCTCTGAGAACCAGACTAAGAGTATATCCCTACTGAATTTAAAAGCCATCTTAAGAACAGATTTGATGTACTGAACACTAATGACTGAAGGGAAGAAAGAAAAAATTTAATGGATGTCAGAAGACACAATGAAACTTGCACTGGAACAACAAGAAGCCAAAAAAAGGGGAAGGAAAGCTGAAGTAACAGAACGGAAGAGAAAATGTCAAAGGGCAGTTAAAGAAGACAAAGCAAAGTATTATAATTAAATGTGCATAGGGAGTTGGGGTCAGAAAACCAGAAGGGAAGTACAAGCTCAGCGTTTCTCAAATGGAAAGAACTGAAGAACAAATTCAAGCCTCAAGTTGTAATACTGAAAGACCTTGTGGGCAAAATATAGAAGATGTAGGAAGCATCACAAGAAAATGAAAGGAAAACACAAAGTCACTGTACCAAAAAGAATTGGACAACACTGAACAAGTAAAGGAAGTAGAATATAATAAAGAATCAATGGTATCCATAAGGGGGATGGGGGGAGGGAGTAGAAAAAAGGGATGGGTGGAAATCACTAGGTTAGCAGTTTTGCGGATCGATTGGGGGAGGGACGGAAGGAATAGGAAAGATCCAAGGGAGACTCTAAAAGATGGGGTAATTAACAATGAATGACTGGAAACTCTAAGTCTCTGTAAACTTTCATTAAAATTAATTTTTTTTAAAAATGGGGTAATTATAGTCATAGATCAATAGTCTCGAATTACATAAAATACAATGCATATGAACTATTGTATGAAACCCAATGTAAATGAAAGACTGTATAAAACTCAATGTACATGAATTAAATACAATGTAAACAAATTATTGTATGAAAATCAATAAAAACTTTTTTTTTAAAAGACATGAATCAATGATAATGAAAGAAAAAGTCAAGCTGCACTTAAGGCACTGGGGAAAAATAAGACCCTGGGAACTGATGGAATAGCAGTTGAAGTGTTTCAGGAAACAGATGAAAGCCTCTTGGTGCTCAGCAGTCTCTGCCAATGAATATGGAAAACAGCTACTTGGCCAACTGACTAGAAGAGATCCCAGATTTGTTCCCATTCCCAAAGGTGATCGAACAGATGGTGGAAGTTATCGAATAATATAATTTATATCACACACAAGTAAAATCTTATTGATGATTATTCAAAAACAGCTGAAACTGCACAAATTCAAGCGATATTCAGGTGTGGCAGGAGGGTTATCACTGCTGATGTCAGAAGGATCTTGGCTGAAAGCAGAGAATGCTACAAAGATGTTTACTTCTGATTTACTGATTAAGCAAAGACATTTGATTGTGTGGATAATAATAAATTGTGGATAACACTGAGAAGAATGGGAATCCCAGAACATGTGATTTGGCTCATGTAAAACCTATACATAGACTATGAAGCAGGTGTGTGGGGAGAACAAAGGCACACGGCAGGGTTTAAAGTCAGGAAAGATGTGTGTTGAGGTTGTATCCTTTCTCTATCCTACTGAATTTGCACTCTGAACAAATCATCTGAGAGGCTAGACTATGTGAAGAGGAACATTGTATCAGGATTTGAGGAAGATTCATCAACAACCTGTTTTATGCTGGTGATGACACACCTTGCTTGCAGACAATGAAGACGACTTGAAGTAGTCACTGCAGAAGGTCAAAGACTTAATTGTTTAGGTCTTGAATAACGACAGGGGTGACTGTTTCTCAGTTGCTGACTGCATTCTGGACTCTGCTAGAAGATGCACCACTTCAGCCCTCCGTGGTTGGTGCCATCATTATCCTCATGTTGTAGTTGAGAAAACTGAGGCAAAGAACAGTAAAGTACCTTGCTTATGGTTACATTACATTACATTCCAGCTTCAAATTCAAGCTAACCTGTCTACAGAATCTGTGCTGTTCACCACTCAGAGCAACTGCCTCTTATCACTACTCTGACCAATACCTTCACTCTGGGAGTTGTTCTGAGGCAGATTTCTCAGAGGGATTTTGTTTGTGAGAAACCTTTAAGCATCTTAAGTATTTTTTCAAAATTTCCAGACTACACATTACATACTTCTCTCAAAAGACTGACAACTGGGATTTTTAACTGAAAATTGCTTGAAGTCAAAATTCAAACTCACTGCTTTTTAACTGGCACTAACTCATTGTAGCTGACCCTTCAGCAGGATTTTGAGGCTGTGAATGACACAGGAGGAGATGTCCCATCTTTCTTCTGTGGAGCTACGGATGGATTCACGTCATCATAGAAGCTCTACCTTTGGGCAGGCAGCACAGCTCCCTAAGGACTCTACCGTCAGGGCATCTCCTTGAAGCCAGGGCCTTGGTAACCATCTCTTCATGAACCAGTACCTACCACAGTGAATACAAGCAAGTGCTCTGATAAATGATTGTGGTGTCCAATAGAATGTTGTTTCCCAGATTCAAGTTCAGTTAAATAAACCACAAATATAAAGAAATTCTGTATGGACCATCTGATGAGATTCAGTCTTTATAAACAGTATTAAACACTGCTTCTCCCATCTGTGTTTTCAGAACACATTTACACCTCTTTATAGCAACAGCTGCTGCTGAGTGCAGACAGTGTGCCAAGCTCTATGCTAGGTGTCTGGCATGCACTGTGTTGTTAGCAATTTATTTTTCACAAGAGCTGGACATGTTATCAGAGCAGCTAAGACTGAGCCTGTGAGTGTCATGTTTGGACAGTTCATTTGCCCTGCATGCTTCCCTCTTATGAGGGACTGTACACGGCAGGCTTGTGGAGGGAGACAAAGTCATGTCTCCAGTAAACCCAGTCTTTCTTCACTTTCTTCCTTGGACTGCAAAATTCTTCCAGACTTTATAGAAAGTGGAGTGAGTTGATCCTCATGTACCGGGAGAAGAAAATGTAGAGGTGTCGGAACCAGAGGAGCTGGCTCTGGTGGCAGGCCATGGCTCTCTAGAAGAATCAAAGAAAATCAGTGAGGTAACATTTGTGGTGAAGCTGATTCTATTACTTTTAGTTTTGGCTTCATCTTAACTCCTTACTCCCTAGGATCTGAATCCAGAGTCATCTGATTGACTTGAGAGTCTCCATTCATACTCACATTCCTCTACCACCTCCCATATTATAAGAGCAGGGATATTTTAAGGGAAATCATGAAGTATTCTGACCATTATTCAAACTGTAGCATATAGTTCAGTCTCATTTAGGTGGAATACAGCTTGGCACTTCTCAAGCTGTAAGGACTGAAGAACAAATTCAAGCCTTGAATTGCAATACTGAAGGATGGATTGATTGGGCAAAACAGAAAACATTATATTCACTGATTTAACTATATATAACAGGCCCTTCCCCTCCTAATTATTATAAAAAAACTTCTCTAGGCTACTATCATTGTAAACTTTTATGTAAAGAATTCAATAATCAAGGTTAAACCTTACATGGCATCAGTGATACCAACACACCTGTAATAACAACCAAGCTTCATACCATGGAATGCTATGCAGCACGTAGTAGCAATGATTTTGTAAATTACTACCTAACTTGGGAGGGATTGGAGAGCATTATGCTTAGTGAACTAAGTCAGTCTCATAAGAACAAATATTATATAAGATCATTATTGTAGAACATGTATGATGATTCACGTGGGGGATGGTGGAAGCAGAGGGGTGAGGATGGGTTAAGAGTGGGGTGATTAATCACAGGGTCATGCAATTTGATGGGTGGGGGTTGGGTGAGGGAAATGGGAAAGATCTGGTATGAAAAACAATGTATTCAAATTTTGTAATTTAGTATATAATACAATTTTAAAAAAATAAACATTGGGAAAAGGTGTTGGAATTTATAGGCTAAGCAACATTCAATCTGTTATTATTGAAAATGCAACAGACTCTCAATGAGATGTAATGAAACAGTGACTGCAATAAAGGGTTTGAGCATGGACACAATTGTGACAGTAACACAGGACAGGGCAAGGTTTTGGTCATGAAGTTCAATGTTGTTCATGAAGTAGCTATGAGTTTTAGTTTATTCAGAAGCACCTAACTATAACAAAGACCAAAAACCAGATCAGATGAATTATGGGATGACATAAAGGATGACATCATGAAGGAAGTAAATAAACGATCAAAGTGGATAAAAGACAAGACTCTGAAACTTGTTCTTCAACTTAAGAGAAGCCAAAACAAAGGGAAAAAATGAAAAGATGAACAGAAGTTTTCAAAAGGCAGTTCCAGAGGACAAAGCAAAGTACTATAATGAAATGTACAAAGAGCTAGAGTTAAAAACCAAAAGAGAAGAACATGCTGAAAGAATTGAACAACAAATTCAAGCCTCAAGTTGTAATAACAAAGGGTTCTATGGGCAAAACACTGAATGATTCAAGAAGCATGGAAAAAAGATGGAAGAAATACAGTCACTAGATTAGAGAACTGGCTGACACTGAACCATTTCAGGAAGTAGCACAGGATCAAGAGCCAATGGTACTTAAATTAGTCCGAGCTTCACTGAAGGCATTGACCAAAAAAAAGATCCCAGGAACTGATAGAATATCATTTTAGGTATTTCAGCAAATAGATGCAGCCCTGGACATGCTCACTTATCTATGCAAAGAAATTTGGAAGTCAGTTACCTGCCCAGCTGACTATATGAAATCTATTTGCTTCCATCACACAAAAAGGTGATCAGAATGTAGAACTTACTCTCATAATACCACATGTAAGTAAAATATTGCTGAAGATTATAAAAAATGGCTAAAACAGTGCATTATCATGTCATCATCAACTGCAACAGAATAAGAAAATCTGTATCAGAAGAAGTGCTGTTAAAGCGCTCTTTATAGGCAAGGATGATGAGACTGACATATTTTAGGCACGCTTTCAAGAAGGGCCAGTACTTCTAAAAGGACATCATGTTTGGAAAGGCTGAGTGAGGATCAGAGAAGAAGACAACCCTCAACAAATGAACTGACACAATGTGTGCAACAGTGGGCTTGAGCATACTGGAGGTGGTGAGGATTGTACAGAGGGCCACTGTAAGTCACAGTCAACTCGACAGCAATTAACAGCAACAGAGGAAGAAAGAGGTGACTTTCAGAAAAGAAGGGCCAGAAGTTAAGTGTGCCCCTTGGAGTTGAGATTCCCATACTGAAACTCCTTGACACAGGGACAGCGCTGCAATACCAAAGAGATGGCTACTTATGGCAAGTGATGGTAAGCAACAGAGAAGTCATGGCCAAGAGCCAAAGGAATCGAGAGGCCAGCTCAAGACTGAACTACGGGTTCCTAGCTCACACAGTGAAAAAACTAGTGTCTTTAGGTAGGAGACTGGCTAGTGAAGAGGTGCCTTCAAGTACCTGACAAGTAGCTAGGTTTGCTATCCATAAAATAGAACTTTTCGGTAAAGCTGACTGGCAAAGTGCTATGCTTTAGGGACACTTAAAACAAGAGTTAAAAACCTTGAGAAAAACTATACAACATGAATGAGTTTAGAGAACATTATACTAAGTGAATTAACATTCACAATGGGCCAAGTGTGCTAGAAGACCAATGTTATAGGAGTAAGAATATGGGAAAAATGGGGGCAGGGGTATGCAGAGAGAACAGGAGGAGAAGAGATAGATAAAGAACATGGCATTGGAATAGGTGGAGGGAAGGTAATTCTGTAAAGACATTATGAGCAACACAACTAACAAGTTGATACAGGATATGTATGAGGAAATGAAGGGAAAGGGAAGAAGGAAAATCTGTATACATGAGTGAATGAAAGTAAACTAAAAATAAAAAAAGCTTTGGAACACTTGTGTGACCAGGGCAGAGGTCAAGGTATTGAGGCTTAGGGCCTGAGAGGCCTGCGTGAGGGCACTGCTAAGAAGAGGCTGTGCTGATCCAAGAATTGTATCCTGAATTTTCCTGAGACTGAATTGTAAACTGTTCTTTTCCAAATAATTCCATAATTGCAAGTATTGTCTGTGAATTCTATGTGGCTATAGCAATTAATCTAAATATTATGCTAGCTGTTTTTGGATGATCTTCAGCAATATTTTCCTTGCACGTGATAGTAATGATACTGTTTGATAATTTCCACATTTTTTGTTGGCTCATTTTTGGAATCTCTTCCAGTCAGTTAGCTGGCCAAGCAACTGTCCTCCAAATGTCCTGGCATAGATGGAGAACACATACAAAGCTGCATTTGTTAGTTGAAACAAATAAACTGGTATTCCATTGATTCCTGAGGCCTTATTTTTTTACCAATGCCTTCAGCGCAGCTTGAATGTGTTCCTTTATTACCACTTACTCTTTTTTTCATTCCCACCTCTGTATTATTGGTATGCTTATAATTATTCATATACTTTGTGTTCCATTCATGTACATAGTATTTCTCTGTGTTTAACATATTCCTTCACTGACATTACCTTTTACACAATCATTCTCATATATTGTTTTATAAAATTGTTCACCATTGGACTATGCACACCATTACATCGTCTTTTCATGTTCCCACTGAATCTTTCCCATTTCCTTTACCCCCTCTCTCCATCTACCAAATTGTGTGACCCTGAGATTTACCACTGACTCCTGATTGTATGGTATTTTCTGAAATATTTCAGTGTAAACTCTTTCTGGTACAGTAATTCTGTGTATTTTCTCCATCTTCTTTTAATGCTTACTGAGTCATTCAAAATTTTGTCTGCAGCATCTTTCAGTTTTCCAACTCGAGAGTCAAATGTGTTTTTAAGTTCTTCCAGGTTGAGAAATGCTGAGTGAGTTCTTTGCTTTTTATGCTCTAATTCCAGCTCTCTACACACTGTTATATCATACTTTGCTTTGTCTTCTCAGACTGCCCTTTGAAAACATCTATTCAACTCTTTTTAAGCATCTCTTCCCTTTTTTTTTGGTTTTGCTTCTTGACACTCTAATGAAATTTTCAGAGTCTCTTCTGATATCCATCATTTTGGTTTTTCTTTCTCCTCTGTCTTTGTAGTGACCTGATATCTTCATGGATGATATCCTTGATGTAATCCCATAACTCATCTGGTCTTTGATTATTGATGTTCAATGCTACAAGCCTATTCTTAAGATGATGTTTCAATTCAGGTGGGATAGATTCAAGATCACATTTGGTCTCATATAGATTATTGTTTTAAAGTATGTCATAATAACTGATAATATTATTTTTCCTTTCCCCCCACTTTTTCTCCTCCCTTTCTCTCCCCCTCCCCCAGCCCACCTCACAATGTACCTCTTGTTCCAGACTGTTCTTATACCTATAATGCATAACAATATATTCCTTTAGTTCTTCCTCTCATCAATTCTAATGCAGTTTTCATTATCTAGCCACTTTCACTACTACCTACTCAACTCTCCCACATCTGTTCTATTTTGTAACTGTGATGTTATGCCGTATTTGTCTTTCTGTGACTGAGATATTTCACTCAGCATAATGTCCTCAAGGCTTCTCCATGTTGTGTAATGTTTTACTATTTTGTTGTTTTTCAAGGTTGTGTTGTTATATTCCACTGTGTGGAAGTACCATAGTTTTTCTGTTTATTGATGGGCACTCAGGTTGCTTCCATCTCTCTGCCTTTATGAATAATGTAGCAATTAACATGGGTGTGCATACAACTGTTTGAATTGTGGCTCTGGTTTCTTTAGAGTACATTCCCAGTAGCTGAATTGCTGGGTCTAAATGGTATTTTTATTTCCAGTTTTTTATTAAGTGCCAGACCACATTCCATAGTGGTTGTACAATTTTACATTCCCACCAGCAGTGAGTAAGGGTTCCAGTTTCTTCACAACCTTGCCACCATTTGTTGTTTGTTGCCCTGTTGAACTCTGATATTGTTGCTGGGGAGAGGGGATATCTCATAGTTGTCTGGTGGTAATATTATTTCTTGAGGTGACCTCAAAGAGTAGTTTTGGTTCAAGGTTATGGACAATCTCAGGCATAGTCTTGGGAATCTTCTAGTTGCAACCAGTCCATTAATTCTGGATCTATTAGAGAATTTTAGTTCTGTTCTGCATTTTTCTGTCTTCCTATCAGTATCCATTTATTGTGGCCCTGATCAGAATGAACATTAATGATAGCTGGGTACCATTTTCTCTGGTCTCAAAGTCGATGAGAGCATGGTTCATGCAGAAAGATAGTCTGGTAGAAGAACTTCTCTGAGTCTCTGCTTTCCATCTTTGTTGTTGTTAGGTGCCACAGAGTCTATTATGACTTACAGCAACCCTATGAACAATAGATCTGAACCTTGCCCTATCCTGCACAATCCTAACAATCTCTGATATGCTTGAGACTGCTATTATAGTCACTGTGTCAAATCATCTTGTGAGAGGTCTTCCTCTCTTTCTCTGGCTTTCCACCTTTCCCAGTATCAAGCCTTTTTGCAAGGACTGGCCCCTCTAGACTACATGCCCAAAGTACATGAGACAGGGTTTCACCATCCTTGCCTTTAATGAGCACCCTAGTTGCACTTCCTCAAAGACATAATTGTTTGTTCATGAGGCAGCCAACAGGATATCCCGTACTCTTCTCCAGCAACAAAATTAAAAAACACTGATTCTTCTTCTGTCCTCTGTTTACTGTCCAATCTTCAGATGCATAGGAAGTAACTGAAAGACCATGGCTTGGATCAGGTGTACCAAAGTCCAAACTGGCACTGTTGTTCTTCAGCACTTTGGAGAAATCCCTGGCAGCAGATTTTCCCAATGCAATGTGTGCTTTGATTTCTTGACTGCTAAGACCACGGATATTGAATGTTCATTCAAGTAAAAGTAAATCGTTGACAACTTTAGTCTTTTCTCCAATTATCATGATGTTGCCTCAGTAGTGAGGATTTTTTTCTTTTCTTGATGCTGAGATATAATCAATTTTGAAGGCTGTAGTGTCTGAAGGCTGGAGAAGAGTCTTGAATATACCATGGACTGCCAAGAAAGCAAACAGGTCTTTCCTGGAGAGGATGAAATAAAGTCTCTTCTTGGAGGCTAGGATTTTGAAGCTCCATCTCACACACTTTGGGCACGTGGCCAGGAGAGACTGATCCTTGGAGAAAGACATCATGCTTGGAAGGGTGGAGGGACAGTGCAGAAGACAACAACCCTGGGTGAGATGGATTGATAAAGTAACAGAGGCAATGGGGGTTGGTGTGTTGAAATTAGAGAGACTGGCTCTGGAAAGGGAAGGGTTCAGAGCTGCTGTACATAGGGTTACTATGGGTCACAGGTGACTCAACAACACATAACAAAAACAACATATTGCATTATTTTATTTTATTTTTTTACTTAAGCCTCTTGTTCAGAGTCAACAAGACCTCATGGAGGACCTTTGTATTTAGAAGTCTGTTGTTACCATATTTTGGATGAACATTCTTCTAAGTGGTACAGCATTCTTCTGTCAATTTGCTGTACTGATGTAACCTGGGGTTGCTGTGATGCTGAATCTTGTGCCACTGGAGTGTCAAATGCCATAACGGTTACCTATGGTGGAGAGCGGTTTGGTGGAATTCCCAGTTTAATACAGGTTTGGAAGTAGGAGTGGCATACACTTCTTAAATAACATGCTTCTGGAAACTATGAACTTTGAGAAATGAGGATAGTTATAGAAAGGCTTCAAGTCTTTTGTTCATAGGGTCGCTGAGTTGTGTTTGACTCAATGGCAAATAACAACAAACAACACTATCTGATCTTCTTCAGCAAGTGTTTCAAGTTTTCTTCACTATCAGCAAGCAAGGTTGTGTCATCTCCACAAAGCAGGTTGCTGATAAATCTTCCTCCAATCCTGATGCTACATTCTTCATACAGCACAGCTTCTAGAATGGTTTGCTCCAATCTTGATGACACATTTTTCTTCATATAGTCTAGCTTCTCGAATGATTTGCTCTGCATACAGATTGAATAGGTATGGAGAACAGATACAATCCTCTTACATACATTTCCTGATTTTAAACCATGTACATTTACACAAATATACAGGCATATAAGCGTGCACATGCGTGCACACACATCCCCTGACACATAACTATGTATTTTTTTTCCATTATTGTATCTGTCATTGCAAAGTTATGTATGTCCCAGCATTGTTGTAAGATGCTATTGAGTCAGTGAACTTGTGTACAATGGAATGACAAGAGTGCCTGATCATTCACCATTTTTGCAATGGTTGTTATGTTGGATGTATTGTTTTTATAACTAGGAAAATAAAAGGTAAACGTTATTTAAAATGTATCACTTCCAAGACTAAGCTGGCAGAGATCTGAAACTCAGGGACAGGTGTTGCATCACTGTGGAAGCTCCTCATGTGGACCTCTGTGGAAGTAGATTTGAGATGATAGGGAATCTGGTGCACAAACCTGAAGTTAGGGTGTGCAAGAATTCACAATACTTACCTTGGCTTGTGTTACCTCTTTTCCAGAAAGCACAAAGAGGACATTCTGGGTCTGAAGCTGAGAAAGGGGCAGATCTAGAAGAGAGATGTACTTGCGCACCACATTCACAGTCTCCAGCATGAGCACAGAGCACCCTGGTGGGGGGAAGAGAAGAGTCTTGGTTCTTCCAGACATGATTTCCCTTCAGTCTGCTCTGACCTTGTGGCTCAGGGAAGCAGCTTCAGAGGTAGTTGCTAGATGATTCCTTGGAGCAAAAACTGCTCTCCTGCCTATCATTCTAGAGGATGTAAGGCTGAAAGGACTATAGAAGATGTGGCCTGCTACCTTTCAATCCCTAGTTCTCCTAACATGAGAAGTTTCACTGCTAGAGGTAGAGATGAGACTACTTGAAGGTTAAGGGAAAGGGAAAGGAAATAGAAACTTTTGTATCACCAGGCCAGACACCTGGCTCCAACTCTGCCCCTAAAGAACAAACAGGCTGGGAAAAATCCTTTAGCCTCTCTGGCCTGGGTTTTCTCTGGAGGGAGCGATCCTCATCCTCCCCTCAGATGGCCTGGGGCAGAGCTAAGTGTGTTTGTAAATGTCACTGTGTAAGTTTCTTAGAGAGACAGTAATTACCAACATTGTATACAAGGGACAAGCCTTACCTTTGGGTAACCTCCCTTCTGAGTGCAGGGTCCTGGAGGAGGGAAAGAACAAGGGTGAGTAAGTAATCCTTTTGTGTGGTTATATGCCAGTGAGTCAGAACCAATTCAGTCCAGAAAGGCTGCTGTACAATTATTCAACTAAATAACTGCTCAATAGATACTTGTGAAATGAATGAGTCTTCCTCCATTGTTGTTGTGTACCACTGAGTCAGAATCGACTCTCTTGCAGGTTTTCAAAGGCTGTAAATCACATGGGAGGAAACTGCCCATCTTTTTCCTATGGAGTAGCTGGTGCATTCAAACTGTGTGCTATTGAGTTGACAGTGCCAACTCCTTACCACTGAGAGTGAGTAATGTTGCTGTTAGGGGCCATCAAATTGAGAATCTATGAGCAGCTGACATGAACCTATCTTGTGCCATCTTCATCATCTCTGACACACTTGAGTGTACTGCTGAAGGTACCATGTCGATCCATCTTATGGGGGAGGGGGTGTCTTTCTCTCCTTCACCGACCCTCCGTCTTTCCAAGCATGTTGTCCCTTTCTAAGGAATGGCTTTGCCTAGCTACATGTCCTAAGCATGAATGAAAAAATTTTGCTATCTTTGTCTCCAAGGCTGCAGTTTTCCCAAGATCTATCTGCTTGTTATTTTGGCCGTCCATACGACATTCAGTATTTTTCACCACCACCACAACTCAAACGCATCAACTTTTCTGTCATCCTTATCCCTGTCCAGCTCTCTGATGCACAGCAAGTGACTGAGAAGAGTGAATCAAGTTAAATTTTATTCCTTTGTAGTAAAAAGGAGGAACCTTCAGAGCACCGGGCTCCTCCCCAGAGGTTTGCAGGTGGTTTCTTTTACAAAAATCACTACTTCTTTATTATTATTTTTTCAATTTGGAAGTTACCAATCATACTGGTTTTTACTCATTCATATACATTTAGTTTTAAGACATTAATTCAAATTGATTAATGCAACTAATTACAATGTCTCATCACATTCTTGCTATATCTTTCCCTTCATTCATCTTATCTGTTCACTAGTTTTCATTTGTTTTTTGCCCCTTCCCCTAAGTTATCTCAGTTAACCCTCTAAGATTTGGTCTTCCTGTGTATAAACCACTTCTTAGTTTTTTCATTAGTGCTCCTACACTGTAATTGTCCATTTATGCCTTAATGCCACTCTACATAATTTGTTCTAATTTCCTCCATATTAGGGAGTATTTCATTAACAGACATACTTTGGAGAAAAGTGCTTCTTTGTCTCACATACTTTGGGCATGTTGTTGTTTTATGTTGTCAACTTGTCTGTGACTCATAGTGACCCTATGTACAAAAGCTCTGAAATCTGCCCTGTCCAGAGTCAGTCTCACAGACTCTGACACACCTATCTCCACTGTCCCAGTTACTGTATCAATCCATCTCATTCGGGGTCTTCCTCTCCTACGCTATCCCTCCACCCTTCAGGGCAAGGGTCACATCTGTTGTTGATAGAACCACTATGACTTAAACTTGACTTGATGGCACACAACAACAAAAACAATAACATATTGGATCATATGATCTGCAAATATAATTTTAATTCTTTTTGACAATTTTATGCCTTTTATTTCCTCTTCTTCCCTTATTGCTCTGACTAGGACTTCCAAAACAATACTGAATAGGAATAGTGAAAAAAAGCATCTTTGCCTGGTTCCTGTTCATAAGGGAAAGGCTTTCAATCTCTTTCCATTGACAGGAATGTTGGCTGTTGGTTTCTGTATTCTTTCAGTTATGTTGAACAAGTGCCCTTTTATTTCTATTTTAGGTTTAATTCTATTTTGGTTTTATCTGGAAAAAGGGTATGGAATTTTGTCACATGCCTTTTATGTATCAATAGAGATAATAATTTAGTTTTTTTCCTTTGTTTTACTGATGAATTGGGTTACACAGATTGTTTTTTGAACCTTGAACTAGGGCTGCATATCTGGTAGAAATCCCAATTGATTCTGATGAATGACTTTTATGTAATGTTGGATTTGACTGGCTAGGGATTTTATTGATAATTCTTGTATATATGTTCATGAGAGATATTGGCCTATAATTTCCTTTTCTTAGTGGTATCTTTGCCTGGCTTTGATTTTAGAGCTGTACTTGCTTCATCATATGAGTGTGAAAGTATAACATATTTTTCTATATTCTGAATAGTTTGAACAGAACTGCTGTTAGCTCATCTCAAAATGTTTGGTAAACATGACCCAGCTATTCCACTACTTGGAATATACCCCAAGAAAAAGAGAACTGAAGCACAAATAGAGATTTGTACACCAATGTTCACAGCAGTGGTATTCCCAATTTTAAGAACATGGAAACAGCCCAAATGTCCAACCACAATCAAATGGATTGAGTAATTATGGTACATTCACATGATGGAATACTATGTAGCATGCAGGAGCAATGATTTTGTAAATCACTATCTAACTTGGGAGGGACTGGCATTATGTTAAGTGAACTAACTCAGTGGCATAAGCACAAATACTGTGCAAGACCACTGTTGTAGAAACAGATGATTAGTGGAGTGTGAATGAGCATCCAAGGTGGGAGTGGAGGTGAAAGCACAAGGGGGAGGAGGGGGGTGCATAATCACAGGGTCACATACTTTGAAAAAAACAACCTCCTGGAGGATCAGCTATGAGTTGGTTCCAACTTGATGGTACATGACAACTACTTCCATTTACCCTGTGAATAAAGTATATTTTCCTGGGGCGGGGGGAACTCTGAAGGACAAAATCGCTTCTACTCTATTTCGCACATGTTATCAAGATATTTAATAAATTATGACTTACTAGAAGCATAAACAAAGAATTTGGTAGAATTCAGCAGTCTTTGATACTAATTTTATCAGAAATTAATATTGTTAATCCTGCTTTTTTTGATTGCTGTTTGCTTGATATATTTTTTCATCATACGATTTTTAGTCTAACTTTGTCTTTGAGCATACAGCCTTTAATGAGGGCTACATCTCAACACCAAGAAAACAAAAATCACGATCACCAGACCAACAAGAAAAATCATCATAGATGGAGAAAGAAATTGAAGTTGTCCATAATTTCATTTTACTTGGATCAACAATTAAAACCTAGAGCAGTAGTAGTCAAGAAAGCAAACGGCATACGGCATTGTCAAATATGCTGTCAAGGACCTTTCTGCAGTTCTAAAGAGCAACAATGTAAGTCTAAAGACTATGGTGTGCCTGATCACAGACATGAACATTCAACTGCTTCCTATGCATTTAAAAGTTGCAAAACGAATAAATAAGACTGAAGATGCTTTTGATTTGTTTAGCTGGGTTTTTTTCTTTTAAAGATATGATCTTTTATTATCTGTCACTCTTAGAAAATTTTATTCTTGCCTGGACTCGTATTTTGAAGTGTAAGTATTCTGCAAGGACAGCCTTTGTCTTTTGGCAATCTTTTCCTGGCATTTTTCTTTGGCCTCCTTCATTCTCTTGGCCAATAGCTTAGTGTGTTCTGCTGTCACCCACTTATTTTTCTTAGTGTGCTGTTTCTTCAGAGCAACAAGCTGGTGCTGTGTTGCAAGACCAATGGAATAACAAGATGCTGCCTCTGGGTCCTTTGGTCCTGAGTTTCTTGCCTTCTTTGTTCAGGGGCTTTCTCACAACATGCTGGGGACCATCATCTTATTTGGAGAGACTGGAAAATTTGAGAGTTCTGAAAGCTCTTTTGGGTCCCAGGTAATGAGGGAGCAGTCAGTCCTGAAATATCCTCCCCTTTCTTTATAATAACCAAGTTGAGAATACCCAGACTGACATCAACTGTGCAATGTTGAGCAGATTTGTGATTCCCTTCTCCAGTTCTCCTTGGTCTGTACAGGAGTGCCCTGTACTCAAAGCAACATTGGCCTGTTTCCTGGGAAAATCTTGTTTGTTGTTTTTACCCCTGATTGTGGAAGAATGTATTCTTTCCACTCATCACCCAGGGAGTCAGCAGCACCTTTAGTGGTTAGTCACTTCTCATAAAATGTAGGGCATTTCAATTCACTGTCCACTTAAGTAAGTTTCTGGCAGCCAGTGGCTGGGAAGGTAATGCTCAGCTTCATGGAAAAGCAGCTAGCTGATTGCCCCAGCAATGCCACGGAAAAGAGGAATCGATGTCTCTGACTTGTGTTGCTGGCAAAGAGTATTGAATATTCCAAGGACAGCCCAACAAAAAACCCCCAAATATCTATCTCAAAGCAAGGGCAAGCAGAGTGCTCCTTAGAGGAGGATGGTGAAATTTTATCTCACTTACTTTTGATATATTTCAGGAGAAACCAGTCCATGCAAAGAGACATGCTCTGAAAGATCAGTGAAAGAGAGCAAGACCCTCAACTCAATGTATTAACACAGTGACTACCACAATGGGCTTGAGCTCGACAGAGATTGTGAGGATGGTACTGGGTAGGGCAAGTTTCAGACTGGTTGTTCACAGGGTCTCTACGAATCATAGTCAACTCGATGGCACTGCTAAAGTCAGATGGATCTTGGCTGAAAGCAGAAAATACCAGAAGAATGTCCATTTGTGTTTTATTGACTATGTAAAGGCATTTGAGTGTATGGATCATAACAAACTATGGCTAAAGTTGAGAAGAATGGGAATCGCAGAACACTTAATTATGCTTATGTGAAACCCATACCTAAACCAAGAAGCAGCTGTGTGGATGGAGCAAAGGAACACGGCATGGTTTAAAATCAGGAAAAGTGTGCATCTAGGGTGTATTCTTTCTCCATACTTATTCAGTCTGTGCAAAGCACTGGAAATGCAGGATCTAAATAAAATAGAAAGGGCACTGGATAAATACAACTTAAAACTTATATGAAAAAGTCCAAGGGTTATGGAAAGAGCTCTGAGAACACAAGCACAGAAAGGGCCTTCAGTATGAGGCAGGTCAGGAGACACAGAGTGACATGAGAGGTTTGGGGAAAGAGGAAGGACAGTGACTGAAGCAAAGAGCTCAAATGTGCCAGGAGATGATGAAGATGGCACAGAATAGGACAGAGTTCAGATCTGTAGTTCATAGGGTCATTAAGAGTTATGAGATAGCACCTACTAACGATGATCTTGGCAACTCAATGGAAGTTAGCTATGAGTCAGTCTGACTTAATGGCAGTGAGTTATTTTTCCATTTCTTTGTTTTGTTTTTAGTTTATATGCCATGCTAGCATAGAAAGACCTAGAGAGAGAGAGAGAGAGAGAGACAGACAGACAGACAGACAGACAGAGAGAGACAGAGATGCTCCTAGGGGAACTGACAACTACGAACTCCTCAAGGTTTGTAGGTATGGAAGAGAGAGAAGGGTTGTAAGGCCATTTCCAAAGTAGGATGTATAAATAAGCTAAATAGATTCTAGGCACAGAAAGAAATTGTTTTATCTGAAGCAGTGACATGACTTAGTTTATGCAGAAGATCTGAAAATATTAAGAACCTTTGGAACTCTAGTTTCTTCTAAGAAAAATGGTCCCAGGCAATTTTGTCTGCCTGACGTTGTCCATTTGAGTCCTCTGTCTGGAATGAAGTTAGGGTTCTTCAGTGGTGATTGGATTCATGATCAGACTCAACAAAAAAAAGACTGTTACTCTGCAGTCCCACCTGCTGAGAACTCTTGGTTTCTCTGTACACTACTACTCTACTGGATTTTTCTTTTCTTGTGTAGTGTGAATAATGCATGAAAATGACAGGATCAGTGTGCACAGTTGGTATGAAGCTGACTCACTGTTCGAATTCTCCATAAGGTCTCTGTCCATGTCAGCTTGGCAGCCCAAGACATCACTGCATCATTGGAAGACTGTTCTTGGACTATATCATGGTTTTATAAAAAATTATGTAATACAACTGGGAAATGTGACTTCCCTGAATCTGAAGGGACTTACCATCTCTAATCTCTTGTCACACATCTCTAAGATGTGGCTCTCTGGTTAAGCCAGGAAGTCATTAGAAGGCATTATTGTCTCCCTTCATTCCAGATGAGGCCCAACTTCACACGCTTCACTGTCTATAATAGACAAAGTGCTAGTCAATAGGCCTTTTATTGTAAGAACCACCTTCCCTCTGTAACTTGATTTGTGCCACTATTAGAACCTTTACTCGGAATATTATTGCTTTTTAATTTTTGACTCATGTACTTTTAACTTGTTAGTTAAATTTGTGTCTTCTAGGCAGCAACACTACCATGATACATCTTCAAGGATATGAACATGTACGGCTAAGCACAATTGATAACAATGCATCTAAATTCCAAAATCAATCTCCGTAATAGTCTGTGTGTTTCCTACTGCCAAAGGGGCCCTTTAGAGTAGTGAGAGAAGATCTTCACCCTGAAACCTACAGCCTCCCTTTTCAGCAGGAAGTAGCTAAGAGAATACGCCATCCCTTTTCCTTATGAATCAGGGTGAAGCCTCTCTCAGGGAGGAGTGATAGGGAATGGCAAAGGACACACTGACAAAAGAGATTAATCAGAACTGGCTTTGACAAGCACTGTGGCAATTGGACAATTAAAACAGACATTCAAGGGAGGAAAAAAAAGAAGAATGAACTGGGGGGGAGGGTAGAGAAAACAGCGCAACAATGAATGAATGAAAACCCAAAATCTCTGTAAATGTTCATTAAAACTAATAAAATTTAATAAAAAAAAACCAATGTAAAAATGTTAGGCAGGTGCACCTACATCTGCTGCCACCAAGCCAACCTGGATTCTTGGCAACCTTCCATTGGATTTCCAACCTTTACGGAAGGAGTTTGCCTCTTTATCCCCCAGTGGCTGGCAAGTTCAAACTGCTGACCTTTCAGTTAGCAGTGCAATAAAAAAATCCTCTGCCACCAGGTCTTCTTTGGGTTATATCTCACTCATTGCTAAGTCAGAACTGACGTTATCACTGACTCTCCATTGCGATCTGGAAGCTGTAACTTACATAGGAGGAGCTTGCCTACCTTTCTCCTACAGAATCACAGTGGATTTGAACCGCTGCCTTTGGGTTAGCAGTGCAACTTCCTACAGATCACACGACCAGAACTCCCTTGGGCCTCTACAGAAAGTTTAAAAAAAAAAAAAAAGGTCTTTCACACAGGTGTTTTTTTGTTTGGTTTTTTCTTTCCCCCACCTTCCTTTCTTGGCAGTTAGGGCAGACTGACCACAGTGCTGACCAAGATAACTTCACCAGCGGACGAGAAACACGGGTATATACTTACAGGATCCTGAGTAAATTACTCAGCATCTTTGAGGTTCAATAAAGTGGAACCAATATCTGTGAAACAGGGTGACTACAAAGAGTAAATGAGATTCCCTATTATGCATGTGTGTCCTTTTTCTCCAAAGATTTGAGACAGTGCACAAAACACACAATGAGTATAATAACTAAGAACAAGGGGAGAGAACAGAAGAGGAAGCCAAGCAGAATATTGAGATGCAGAGTCTTTGTTGTTACAGGATGCCATCAAGTAGATTCTCAACCCACCGCAGGATCCATGACAGAGCAGATCACCACAAAGAATTTTCTTAATATGCTTGGAAGGGTGGAGGGTCAGCGAAAGAGAGGCAGACCCCCATCGAGATGGACTGACATGATGACTGGAATAGTGGGCTCAAGTGTACCAGAGATGGTAAGGGTGGCACCTGGACAGGACGGATTCAAGTCTGTTGTTCACAGGTTCGCTATGAGTCATACTTAATTTGATAGCACTGAACAACAACAAAAACAACAACATCGTCTTTATGGAAGTTGTTTGCTAGGTCTTTCTCCTACAGAGCCACTGGGTGGGTTTGAACCACCAAACTTTCGTTTATTAGCTGAATGCTTAACCACTGCACCACAAGGGCTCCTTGTAGAGTCTTGCACCTATCGTTATAAGTCTTGCATATGTGTTACAAGGGGTAGCAAATTTGGCCTGAAAATGTTCTGTGTCCAAAACAAAGTTGTTGTTATGTGCCATTGAGTCACCTGCGACTCACAGTGACTTTATGTACAACAGCCCTAAACCCTGCTCTATCCTGTGCCAAGCTCACTGTCTTCAACACCCCGATTACCCCAAGTCATTGAATCAATCCACCTCATAGAGGGGCTTCCTCTCCTGTGCTGTCCTTTCCCCCTCCCAAGCATGATGTCTTTCTCCAAGGACCGGTCCCTCCTTGCAACATGTCCAAAGTATGTCAGATGAAGCTTCAGAATCCTTACCTCCCATTTTTTTAGCAGTCCATGGTATATTCAATACTATTCTCCAACACCACAGTTCAAAGGCATCAATTTTCCTTCTATCCTCATTAGTCATTCATTGTCCAGCTCTCTGACACACAGCAAGTGATTGCAAAGACCATGGCCTATATCAGGCGCATTTTAGTCTCCAGAGCGACACTACTGCTCTTCAGTACTTTGGAGAGGTCCCTAACAGCAGACTTTCCCATCACAATGTGTCTTTTAATTTCCTGGCTGCTGGTGCCAATAGTGTTGACTGTGGAGCCAAGCAAACTAAAGCTGTTAACAATCTCAATCTCTTCACCATCCATTCTGATGCTGCCAATTGGCCCAGAGGTGAGAATTTTTGTTTTCTTGATATTGAGCCTCAATCCATATTGAAGGCTACAGTCTTTGACCTTCTGCAGCAAGCACTTCAGGTCCTCCTCAGTTTCAGTGAATAGGGTTGTGTCATTTGCATAATGCAGATTATTGATTAAGCTTCCTCCAATCCTGATGCCACACTTCTCCTCATAAAGCCCAGCCTCCTGGATAATCTGTTCTGCATTTAGGTTGAAAAGGTATGGAGATAGGACACAGCCCTGGTGTACACCCTTCCCAATTTTGAACCGTGCAGTGTTTCCTTGTTCTGTTCTGACAACTGCCTCCTGGTCCAAGTATAGGTATCATATTAGCATGATCAAGTGTTCTGGGATTATCTTTGGGGCTACCCTGCTTAATGATTCTTCTCAGAGGAAAAGAAAATCAGTTACCACGTTTGCACCATCAACTGAGTAAAAAAAAATTTGGCTGCTTAGGGCACAAACATTCCTACTAGTAACATATGAAATAAATTTTCTCCTAGAAAACACAGTACTATTACCAGAGCTCTAATAATTCAATAATATATCTGATGCGGCTTGTATGAGTGGGAAGGTGTACTGGAAACATAACATCCTGAGAACAAACTTCCACCTCGTTAGCCCGGAGAATCATACCTCATAGCCAGATGAAGAGCAACATGATTGATGTGCCCACTCACTCCCTTGGCATCGAAGGTCACCACCTGTAGAGAAACAGAGGGTTTCACTGAAGCCTGTCTGAATGCTTGATCTGCTGTTGGAAACAAGCAAACAGACCGACAAACAAAACCTGCTGTTAAAGCGGGGGAAGGCTCTGAATTTCTTTATTATTATGTTTGAGTGACAAGTTACAAGGCCGACTGATTTTCATTCAACCATTTAGACACATTATATGTTACAACATTTAATACAATAACCACATTGTAATTACACTTTCTCTCACATCCTTCTTATAATTCTTATTTTATTATTCCTTCTATTATCCTATCCTTTCCTGCCCTTATCTATCCTTGACCAAATGCTGCTTTTTTGCCTCACAGCAGCCTCTGGTGGCAGACTAGAGCTGTAGTCTTTAAGACAGTGGCTGGTGGGCTATTCTAAGGAGTGACTGTCTCTCAGATGTTACTGACCACCTCACAGACTTGACCACCTTCATTCTTTTTGGAAGGAAGGGAAAAAGCATGGTCAGATTCTGAGTAGCCTTCTGAACTATTTACTGGCGATTTGGCTTGGCCATTTATTGGTCTGGCTGATGGTACAAGGACTATTCCCAAGTGGAGCAGAACAGAAATCAGTCATGATAGAAACTGGGGTACAGAATTATCTTTGGGGCTAACCTGCTTAATGATTAGCACATACAGTTTTCAAGGATGACTGCTAGTTAAACTTGGTTCATGTGGATAAGCTGGATTTATATGGTCTCTTTCTGATGCCATACCAAGGGTGTAAAAGTTTTCAGACACAATATCCCCATGTCTCTGCAGCTGAGATAATGGAAAAAATATTTACTCTTAGGTTTCCTCTATTTCCATTTTCATGAACTTATCTCTATATACTTATTAACTATAATCACAGTTTAGTACTAACAATTTCTGCATATAGATAGATTTTTTAAAAAAATAAAGATAGCTTGAATAATAATGATAAAATAAGATGACAGCTTGAATAAGAAAAGTATTTTAAAAACCAAAACTCTTAAAAGGAATACAGTAATTGGTTAGGGGTGACAGAAAGAGGTAAGCTGTCCTCAAGGAAGGAAGGTGACTAGGCAGCAGGGACAGGACTCAGAAATAGTGCGGCAATGGGTGGAGAAGAGACTCACTGGGCTCCTGCTTTAAACTGTAAAATATGCTAACTTCACTTTGTACAGAGCTACCATTTATTGCTCACAGGCATTATTAGCCCTAAATCGCAGAAGCTGAGGTGACCTAATTAATGAGAATGGTGCTGACTTTAGAACTAAAACACAAGCAGTTAAGCAGAAAGGACTATTTCCTTACTCATTCTTTACTAAATGAGAGACAGAAATGACAAAAGCAATATAAGTTCCTAAGTAGAGACTGTTTTTGCTGTTATGTGTCATTGAGTTGCCCACAATTCATAGCAACCCTATGTACAACAGCTCTGAAGGCTGTCCTGTCCTGAGCCAATCTCACTGAGTCTGACACCACTACACACATTGCCCCAGTTTCTGTATCAATCCATCTCACGTGGGGTCTTCCTCTCCTGCGCTGTCCCTCCACCTTTCCAAGCATGATGTCCTTCTCCAAGGACAGGTCCCTCCTGGCTACATGCCCAAAGTATGTGAGATGGAGCTTCAAAAACCTAACCTCCAAGGAGAAACTTGGTTTCACCCTTTCCAAGACAGACCTATTTGTTTTCTTGGCAGTTTATGGTATGTTCAAAACTCTTCTCCAGCACTGGACTCAAAGGCATCAATTTTCTTCTGTCATCATTAATCATTGTCCAGTTCTGATGCATAGCAAGTAACTGTGAAGACCATGGCATGGATCAGGCACACCTTAGTCTCTAGACTGACATCATTGCTTTTCAGTATTCTGGAGAGGTCCCTGACAGCTGACAAGGTGAAACTACAGACTAGGTGAAGATTAATTAACAAATAGTTTCTATGTTCTGCTCAAAAGTTAGCTGAGATTTCCCACTTTTTCTTATACTTGTGCTGATTCCAACTCATGACCTCATGTGTTAAAGAGTAGAACAGCTCTGTAGGATTCTCTGTGGTAATCTTTACAGTAACAGATAGCCAGGCCTTATCACCAGCTGTACAATCTATACAAGCTGTAATCTTGGGGAATCACACTTCAATAGTTGACCCCAAAAGTATGCAAGCCCAGGATGGCTACACTGAACTTATTAATAAAAGCAATAAAATGTTACAGAAGATCAATTTCAACATGAGATGAAATAAAAACAGTTAACCATTAAAAAAACAAACACAACAACCAAAAACCAAACCAAAACAACAAGGGTCCTAGCTCTGTTCACCAAAAAGGACTAGAAAGGATGAAAGTCTAATAGCAATGAGCATTCTTAACATTCACATTGTGGTTTTAAAAACACAATCTAGTAACCTTCTTGCTGAGACCTTACATAATAGAGCCACCTCCATAACGAGATCTGCTATAAACAGCTAATGAATGAAAAGGGAGTTTCATTAGAGGAGTAGTCTACATTGACTGAATATGGAAATCTAGCAATATTAATATTCTGTTGCTTTCTGCTCCATTTGAAGTCTGTGTCTTCTCCTGTGCTTTGGACGGGAACTAAAAAGCTGCCTTCCATTCCAAGGAAGCTTTTGTGACCAAGTAGTAAGAAGCTGAGCTGCCAACCAGTGGCTCCACAGGAATAAGATGGGCTATCTCCCATGCCATTTACAGCTTCTGAAAACCTGCTGGAGGGTCAACCATGAATAAGTTACAATTTGATGGCACATAACAAATGAATCAGGAGACGTTTCTCTTTTAAGGTCTGACTCACGTATGATCCTGGAATTTGCCAGCTTCTCCAAGCAAATGAGACATTTCCTTAGTCTAAGTCAGGATCAGAAGAAAACTAGTCTGCTCCACTCAAACTTTTTCAACATTTCGGACACTGGTTGTCTCCCACATATTACTTCTTAATCTGGTTCCATGAATCCATTGTAATGGCCACAGTCAACTTACCAACCAGACTTATTTTTATTAGGGAAGTAGCAGGCCACAACTAGGGATCAGGGCCAACTTTGCCAGGCAAGACAACTTCCAATAGCCCTCAGCTTCTTTTAGGTTGTGACCACTGGCAGGCCCTCTCTCACTGCTCAGTCACTGGCCCTCCTGTGTGTCTATCTCACTTGGATAGGTGGTCTAGCTCTTCTGGCTCTGTCACTAAAGCCTGGAAGTACCTATCTCTGGCTGCGAGCTTCTTGCCAGAAGGTTTTCTGCTCTCTGTCTTTGGGCTGCCTGCTGCTGCAGCTGTTAACAACCCCACAGGTCCTGCCACTGTCTCATGCTGTCTTGAGCATTCTTCAGTGCTACAGCTCTTAATCCTTGCACTTTTTCAGGAGGTCTCCTTTCTCTCCTGTTAGGTTGGCTGCTTAGATACACAAGCTCTTTATTAATTTCAAGGCATAACCCTGCCAACAGAACTGTAAACTGACTAACCCCCACAGTCACTCATTCTCCTGGGTGGTTTCAGATGTCTTCTTTTGCACAGTAAGTTGACCTGTCTTTATACAGTATGTAAAACAGACCAAACATAGGGTAGACTGCGGCTTAATCATTTTTTTTAAGATTATAAACCTATGGCAGAAAGGTCATGCTGATGTTATTGTTGCCTTTGAGTCAAGCATGAATCACAGTGACCCTATGAACAAAAGGCCTGAAGCCCCTTTACAACTATTGACATTTATGAATGTTCACAGAGTTTCCGAAAGCATGTTGTTTAGGAAGTGAAAGCCACTCCTGCTTCCAAAGAAAGGCAACAGATCAATAAACTCATTGTACTGTACCCTGGCAAGGTGATTTAGGGTCACACAGAGTCAATTCTGGAAGCTCTAGTGGCCTAGTGGTAAAGAGCTGCACTGCCAACCCACAGGCATGTGGTCTGAATCCATTAACTGTTCCATGAGAGAAAGATGGGCCCTTCCTCCCATGTGACTATATGGCCTCTGAAAAGCTGCTGGAGAATTAGCTATGGGTCGGTTCAGACTGACAGGGTATAGCAACAAAGTCAACTCCATTACTTTTGAAATTCTCAATGTTTCTCAGCTTTCTTCTCTTTCTATTGCATGAGGAGTGAGCTGAATTGTATCTAGCTGCCTAGACTTGTAGATTTTGTGCAGTGGTTCTTGTGGTTCTTGGCAGAGTTCTATGTATTTTTAAAATTGTATTTTTAATTTATTTTTAAATTATGGTTTGAGGGAAAGTTTACAAAGCATATTCCCTCCACTCATAATCAATCATCCATGCACATTCTGTTCCACAACAACAAATACAATACACACAAGGACTGAAACATCCCAACTGGCATCTTTGAATTCTTGGAGCGGCATTTCTTTCCAATGCCTTCAGTGTGGCTTGAAATTCTTCCCTGGTTACCACTAGTTCTTGATCATGTGCTACTTCCTGAAATGGTTTCAGTGTGGACCAATTTTGTTGTTGTTGTTGTTAAAATGAGTATTAGGGAACTGGTCCTGGGCAAGTCACAGTTATGGGAACACGGGGGTGCTCTACCACACTTCACATCGCTAACTGCTTTATTCCAGGCTGTCCTGAAGATCAGTTCTGGCATGGAAGGAAATTCTCATCTTTCTCTCATAAAACAGCTGTTGGTTTGAATTTTGAGTATGTCTCACAAGAATCCAGAGACCAACTCAAGTACAGATATCATACATTAAATTAACCAAAGATCAAGCCAAGCTAATGCTAATGCTTTGTAAAAGTAATTTTGCATCAATTGTCTTTAAAGGTTCCTTCAAGAGGTTTCCATGATGTTAAATGAAGTGATATAATTTTATATTTTCAATTGAAGTAGTATTATTTTTACAAAGCTATATCTCATTCTATCATGTATCCAAATTAAATATTAACATAACTGCACACCTTTGGGATGGCAGTTCAGGTCCCTACCCAGTAAGCCACCAGAGCTCCCATAGAAAAACCATCTGCTTCTACCAGGCCACTGATAAACAAGTTGCTCTGTTTCAAAAAGATCTGAAAGATGTGTTTGTTCCTCTGTAGAGGTAAGAGTGCTGGAAGTTTGGTTTCTTTATGGAGTATACCTAAAGGGAACAGAAGTGGGAGGACAACCAAGGGAAAAAAAGGCTGTAGAAACCAACTGTTCCAAGGCCCAGGCTTTCCTTTAGGGAGGATAGTCCTTTACCAGGCTGATGTCATTTGCTTCTATGTGCTGGAGGAGGATGCTGGCCACATGTTGTGTGTCCCACTGTATATGTGGGTCATCCGGGAAAGCCCTGTAAGGAAGAAGCACAACATGAACACCTTATCTAAATAAGCACTTTATCTAAATAAGTACAAAGTTCTCCCAAGGTCTAGTACATCAATACCAGTTCTGTGATATGAATCAATTATATGGGTGGGTTCATAACCTTAAAGTTCTTATATTTCAAAAAAAGATATCTATAAACGTAAAAGAACTAGAAATTAATGTAAAATCACACACAGCATATTTGGGGAACTTTGTGCTGTTTGTTGTCGTGAGTTAAGAAATAGATATCAATAGTCAGACCATGAGTTGGGGAGCCAGACATGTTAATAATTTAGACACAAGACAGAATGATATATAAGTTTGTAAAAGTAATATTAATAGTGCTTCAATTGAAACTCTAAAAACATATCACTTCATTTGCCTCCATAGACACATCTTGAAGGAAACTTTAAAGACAAAAGATGCTTACAAAGTCCTTAGGCATTAGATTTGAACCACTTGGCTTGGTCTTCGGTTACTAGTGTTCTGTATATGTCCTCTGTTTTGAATTGGCCGCTACATTCATGTAGGATATACTCAAGGTCATATTTTGACTCTCATGGACTGATTTTCATTTTCTTCAGAATCATGCAGATTTTGTATATAAGCAATTGAATATCTGTTCTACAGCTGGTCCTTGGCCTGGTTCTGATTGATGATGTTGAGCTTCTCCATCATCTCATTACACTGATGCAGTGGATTTCATTCCTGTGTATCCCATCCATGAGATTCCTGTGCATTGCTGCTTTTAATGTTGTGGAATAAGTGTATTTGTAATGAATAAGTTGTTGAACTTGCAAAATTCTACCAGGGAATCCTCGGCATCCTTTCTATTATCAAGACCTTACTTTCCAACTACTAATCCTTTCTTTCCAAATTTTGCATCTCAATCACCAGTATTTATCAATGAATACTTGATATTCTTGACTGAATATTTTACTAATATCATACTGCAGAAGATGGGGAAAAATTTTTCAATTTCTTACTCTTTTGCTTTAGTGGTTGGTGCATATATTTAAATAATAATCATATTAACTAATCTTCTTTGTAGGTATATACTTATTATCCTATCACTGATGCCACTGTACAATAGGATAGACCTTGCTGTTATTTTTTATGATAAATGTGATGCTATTACACTTTAATTTATCATTCTTTTTTTTTTATTAGTTATGTGTGTGAGTACCATCAAATCAGATTTGACTGGTACAGGAGGAGATTGTTCCTCCTTCTCCAGCAGAACATCTGGTGGATTTGAACCGCACACCTGTGGGATTGCACTGCAGCTTCTTGCCACTAGGCCACCAGAGCTCGCCTAATTTATCATTCTTAAAGCAGACTATATGACTGAGTTAAAATGGTCAATACCAATCCATTTCACCTCACTAATGCCAAGCAAAAGCTTTTTTTTTTTTTTACACCTTCGCTAGGAGAATGTAGAGAAGCTAAAAAAGAGAGAGAGAGACATGTTGAAACAGAAGAGCTGACTACAACGCAGTTGACCAAAGAGAATAAGAGGACACTACACAGGAAAGAAAGCATTTGACTGTGTGGCTCATAACAAGTGTGCCTGACACCGAGAATAATGTGAATCCCAGATCACTTGATTGTGATCATGTGGAATCTGTACCTGAAAGAGGAGGTTGCTGTGCAAACAGAGCAAGGGAACACTCCATGGTTTAAAATTCAGAAGGGAGTGTGTCAGGGTTGTATTTTCTCTCCATACCTATTCAATCTGTATGCTGAGCAAATTATTCGAGAAGCTGGACTCTATGAAGAGGAATGTGGCATCAGGATTGGAGGGAGACTCATCAATACCCCTCATTATGCAGATGATACAACCTTGTTTGCTGAATGTGAGGACTTGAAGCACTTGATGCAGAAGATCAAGAAATGCAGCCTTCGGTATGGATTGCATCTCAATGTCAGGAAAAGAAAGATTCTTACCACTGGACTGATAGACAGCATCATGATGGATGGAGAGGAGATTGAAACTGTCAATAGCTTCATCTTGCTTGGATCCACAGTTAACACCCTTGGTACTAGCATTCAGGAAATAAGGAGATGCACTGCACTGGGAAAATCTGTAGTTAGAGACCTTTCCAAATTACTGTGGAGTAGTGATATCAGTTTGAGGACTAAGATGCGTCTGATTCAGGCCATAGTCTTTCCAATTACTTGCTATGCATCTAAGAGCTAGACAATGAATAAGGATGACAGAAAAAGAATTGATGCCTTTGAGCTGTGGTGCTGGAGAAGAGCAATGAACATCCCATGGAAGGCCAAAAGAATGAACAGGAGAGGGTGCAGGAGTGCTGAGAATGATGAGACTTTGCCTCACATACTTTGGGCATGTTGCTAAGAGGGGCTATTTCTTGGAGAAGGACATGATGTTGGGAAGGGTTGGAGGGTCAATGAAGGAGAGGAAGACCCTCAACTAGGTGGAATGGCATGGTGACTGCTGCAATGGGCTCCTTCCTGTGTGTCAGGAAGTGTGAGGATGGTACAGGATAGAACAGGGTTCAGATCTTTTGGTCATGGAGTTGCTATGAGTCGTACTCAACTCGACAGCACCTAACAAAAACAACAACAATTTAATCTGTATGCAGAGGAAGTAATTTGAGAAGCTGGACTATATGAAGAAGAATGTGGCATCAGTATTAGATCAGCATCTAGATGACACAATCTTGTTTGCAGAAAGGGAAGAAGACTTGAAGCACTTACAGAAGAAGACCAAAGACTAGACAGCATCATGATAGATGGAGAAAAGACTGAAGTTTCCAATGATCTCATTTACTCGGATCCAAAATCAACACCCATGGAAGCAGCAGTCAAGAAATTAAAAGACATATTATTGTTTTTACGTGCTATCGAGTCATCTGCAACTAATAGTGACCCTATGTACAACAGCCCTAAACCCTCCTCTATCCTGTGCCAATCTTATTGTTTCTGACACACCCACCCCCACTACCCCAGTCACTGAGTCAATACATCTCATCCAGGGTCTTCCTCTCCTGCACTGTCCCTCTATCCTCCCAAGCATGACATCCTTCTCCAAGGACTGGTCCTTTCTTGCAACATGTCCAAAGTATGTGAGATGAAGCTTCAGAATCCTTGACTCCAAGGAGCAGCCTGTTTTCACCTTCTCCAGGACAACCTGTTTGTATTCTTAGCAGTCCATGGCATTCAATATTCGTCTCTAACGCCACAACTCAAAGGCATCAATTCTCCCTCTATCATCCCTAGTCATATTCCAGCTCTCTGTTGCATAGCACGTAGTGGACACAAGAATTTCAGGAAATAACATATGAGCAAGAGCCTATGGTGATGAAGAAAAAAGTTAATGCTGCTCTGAAAGAATTGGCAAAAAGCCAAGGCCCCGGGACTTGATGGTATATCAATTGATATATTTCAACAAACAAATGCTGCCCTAGATGTGTTCACCAAGTTGTGCCAAGAGATCTGGAAGACAACTACCTGGCTAAGTGACTGGAAGGAGCTCTGTATATGTTCTCATTCCAAAGAAAGGTCATGTGACAGAGTGTGGAAATTATTGAACAATATCATCAATATCACATGCAAGCAAGATTCTTCTGAAGATTATACAAAAACAACTGGAACAAGGACATCTTTATAGTGGTAAAAGGCAAGGTTGTCATTTAAAGACTAAGGTGCATCTGACCCAAGCCATGATATTTTCAATTGTTTCATATGCATCTGAAAGTTACACCATGAATAAGGAAGACTGATGACAAATCAATGCCTTTGAATTGTGATGTTTGCAGAGTCCTGAATATGGCAATTTTCTGTCAATATACTGTTCTGGCTGTTTTTGGATAATCTTCAGCAAGTTTTACTTGCATTCTATATTAGTGACATTTTTTAACAATTTCCACATTCTGCAGGAACTCCAGTGTGGTAGCAGCACAACTTGTTTAAGGTACTACCTCTAACCATGGATTAACACACATTAAACACCACCACATGCAGAAGACAGTGCTGAGGCTGGCTCTAAAAACTTTTGAGGACAATATTGATCTTTTCATAGACAGTGTTTGGTGGAGCTCCCCAATTAAATCAAGCTTGGAAGCAGGAGTGGCATACATTTCTGAAATAGCCTGCCTCAGGAAACTCTATGGAGAAACAATGAAAGCTATTCAAGTGTTCAGGTGTTATTCAATGAAAGTTATTCAAGTTTTCAGAAACCAGGTGTGGGTTCTGTCAGTCTTTTGGTCATCTGGCTTTGGCAAGGAAAGCAGCTGGGTACTCTTCCTTTCTTCTTCAGCGCAAATGCAGACTCCACACAGTCTGCTGCTGGAACCTGACCAGTGTTTGGCAACAGCTTATCTCTTCTGAGAAACCTCTGAGTCTCACTCTTGTGCACTGTACTCTGAACTCTAATACAGTCAGAGGAGGCTTACATGCCCTTATTTGGTCTTGTGGCTTATCTAGCCAAGGCAGGAAGTATCAGGCTAACTCACCTCCACCCTACCTCCAGAAGATTTCTGAAGTGAAATGACTTCTTTATCATCTAGACCAGGCAAAGGTCAGTAACTCAACATTAGAACATGTGGAGAGGGAAGCAGCTTACTTAGGGGTTGAATGTTAATATTGTGGCCAAGTGAGTCATTCTGGGGTACATGACTTCTGAAGTGCAGTGGAAACCAATAAGCAGACTGTGTAGGAATGAAGTCTAGGCTGAGGGAAAGTTTGAGAAATGACATACTAAAGTGAGGTCAAATAACTCTGAGAGTGTATTTGGGTCACTAATGAATAGTTCTATATTTGTTCCCATTCCAAAGAAAGGTAACCCAACTGAGTGTGGAAACTACAGAACAGTGTCATTGATTTCACATGCAAGCAAGATTCTGCTGAAGATCATCCAAAAACTATTAGAACAGCACATCAGCAGAGAACTGCCGGAAGTCCAGGCTGGGTTTAGAAGGCGTCGTGGTACTAGGGATATTGTTGCTGATGTTAGATGGATCTTGGCTGAAAGCAGAGACTACCAGAAGAATGTCTATCTGTGTTTCATTGATTATGCAAAGGCATTTGACTGTGTGGATCATAACAAACTGTGGCTGACTCTGAGAAGAATGGGAATCCCAGAACACTTAATTGTGCTAATGCGAAACCTATACTTGGACCAAGAGGCAGTAGTCAGAACAGAGCAAGGTAACACTGCATGGTTCAAAATTGGGAAGGGTGTACGCCAGGGATGCATCCTGTCTCCATACCTTTTCAACATGTATGCAGAGCAGATTATCCGAGAAGCTGGGCTCTATGAGGAGAATTGTGGCATCAGGATTGGTGGAAGATCTATTAACAATCTGCGTTATGCAGATGACACAACCCTGCTTGCTGAAACTGAGGAGGACCTCATGCACTTGCTGCGAAGGGTCAAGGACTGCAGCCTTCAGTATGGACTAAGGCTCAATGTCAAGAAGACAAAGATTCTCGCCACTGGACCAATTAGCAGCGTCAGGATGGATGACGAAGAGATTGAGATTGTTCACAGCTTCAGTTTGCTCGGCTCCACAGTTAACACTCTTGGTACCAGCAGACAGGAAATCAAAAAGTGTATCGCAATGGGAAAGTCTGCTGTTAGGGACCTCTCAAAGGTACTCAGGAGCAACAATGTCTCTCTGGAGACTAAGGTGCGCCTGATACAGGCCATGGTCTTTGCAATCGCTTGTTATGCATCAGAGAGTTGGACAATGACTAGGGAGGACAGGAGAGTGGATGCTTTTGAGCTGTGGTGCTGGAGAAGGGTACTGAATGTACCATGGACTGCCAGGAAAACTAACAGATTCATCTTGGAGAGGATTAAACCAAGCTACTCCTTGGAGGCAAGGATTCTGGGGCTTCGTCTGACATACTTTGGACATGTTGCCAGGAGGGACGGGTCCTTGGAGAGGGACATCATGCTTGGGAGGGTGGAGGGACAGCGCAGGAGGGGAAGACCCCCTATGAGATGGATTGATTCAGTGACTGGGGTAATCGGGATGGGTGTATCAGAGGCGGTGCGGTTGGCGCAGGATAGAGCAGGGTTTAGGGCTGTTGTGCACAGGGTCGCTATGAGTCGGAAACGACTCGACGGCACATAACAACAACAACAACAACAATGAATAGTTCAAGAAAAACTGAGGAAAGAAAGAGAGTCGGGTGGGGTGGAGCATGTAGAACTAAAAAGGAAACATTTGTATACATAGCGTTATCAGTGAGTTAGAATCAACTCATAGTTGACCCTCTAGCACGTTTTTAGGGGCTGTAAATTGGATAGCAGAGGACTGTACATCGTTTTCCTCAGAGCATCTAGGCCACCAGAGCTCCATATCATCACTGGTGAGTTAGAATAAACTCATAGTTGACCCTCTAGCAGATTTTTAGAGGCTATAAATTATATGACAGAAGACTGTACATCCTTTTCCTCAGAGCATCTAGGCCACCAGAGCTCTCTCTGTGTGTGTATGAGTGTGTGTGTGTGTGTGGGGGGGTATGAATATGAAAGACAAGGCAAGGTATTATAATGAAATGTGCAAAGAGCTGGTGTCAGAAAACCAAAAGGGACAAACTCACTCGGCACTTTTTAAGCTGAAAGAACAAATTCAAGCCTAGAGTGGCAGTACTTAAAGATGCTATGGACAGAATACTGAATGACTAAGGCAGCATAAAAAGGACATGAAGGGAATATATAGAGTCATTGTACCAAAAGAATTGGCTGACAAAGTGGAACTTCATGAAACATGATATGATCAAGAGGCAATGGTGATGAAGGAGGAAGTTCAAGTTGCTCTGAAGGAATTGGCAAAAAACCCCAAAGCCTCAGGAATTGACAGAATACCAAAAGACCATTTCAATAAACAGATGCAGCCTGGAAATGCTCACCAGGTTTTGCCAAGAAATCGGGAAAACTACCACCTGGCCAATTGACTGGAAGAGATCCATATTTATTCCCATTCCCAAAAAAGGATGATCTGACAGAGTGTGGAAAAAATATCACTAATATTACACACAAGCATAATCCTGCTGAAGATTATCCAAAAATAACTGAAACATTACATCAACAAAGTACTATCAGAAATATAAGCTAGATTTAGAAGAGACTATGGCACTAGGGTGATTAGAGCAATGTCAGATGGATCTTGGCTGAAAGCAGAGGGTACCAGAGGAATGTCTATGTTTCATTAACTATGTAAAGGTACTTGATTGTGTGGAACACAAGTTTTGGTAAACAAAGAGAAGAATGGGAATTCCAGAATACATGATTGTGCTCATATGAAACCTATATTTGAACCAGAAAGCAGTCCTCAGAACAGAGCAAGGAAACCTGGGTATGGTTCAAAATCAGGAAAGGAGTGCATCAGGGATGCGTCATCCTATTTCTATACCTCTACAATCTATATATCCAGAAGAGATCATTAGGGAGGCTGCACTTTATGAAGCATCAGTATTGGAGGATTACTTATCAACAACCTGCATTATGAAGAATACACAAGAGGAAGCCTGGAAGTGTTCGCTGCAAAAGGTCAAGGACTGCAGTCTTCAATATGGATAGAAGCTCAGCATCAAGAAGACAAAGATTCTCATCACTGGGTCAATTGATAGATGGAGAGGAGACAGAGACTACTAACAACTTCAGCTTGCTTGATTCGACAATCAACACTCTTGGTACCAGCAGCCAGGAAATCAAACGATGGACTGCAATGGGAAAGTCTGCTGTCAGGGACCTATCTGGAGTGCAAAAGAGCAATGATGTCAGAGTGCAAGAGAGGAAGACTCTGGAGGATATATATATATATATATATATGGCTATTGTTTTTGTGTCATTGGGTTGCCAATGACTCACAGCACACAACAACTCTGAACCCTGCCCTATCCTGAGCCAACCTTATTGTCTCTGACATACCTACTCCCATTCCCCCAATTACTGAGTCAATCCTCTCTTATGCTGTCCCTTCACCCTCCCAAGCATGATGTCCCTCTCCAAGGACTACTCCCCTCTTGCAATATGCCCAAAGTATGTCAGACAAAGGTGTTCAGAATCCTTGCCTCCAAGGAGCAGCCTGGTTTCACCCTCTCTAGGCCAAACCTGCTTGTTCTCCTAGCAGTCCATAGTCTATCCAATACTATTCTCTAGCACCACAGCTCAAAGGCATCAATTCTCTTTCTATCATCCCTGTCACTGTCCAGCTTTTTTTTTTAAATCCAATATTTTAATCGTCATTATGTGAACACAAGAATGGTTCTAAAGTCTATCAAGTTAAAGACATTGTCTAATAATTTACATAGGATGACTATGACTCCTTCATACAATGAAAGTGATTTGACATAACAAACTTAAATATTTTACTGAAATTTTCATACAGTCCTTTGGTCTATTGTCTGATGTAATCTCTCTTTTTTTATTTATTCATTCATTGCTGCACATTTTCCTGTCTTCTATCCCCTAGTACACTTTGCAATGCACTTTTTCCGATTGTTGTCATACATATAATACCTAATCATGTATTTCTTTTCGACCATTCTTCCTCTCATCTGTCCCAATGCAATGTTCATTGTCTATCCATTCTTTTTCTATTCTCCCTTCATGTCAATTCTGTAACAGCAGTGTTTGACACTTTATTTTTTAAAAAAGCCAAACTATACTACTAAACAGATGTATGTGAAAATAATGGTTGAGATAGGTCTTTATCCCAAAGCTAAATCATAGAAACCTTAAAAAAAGGTTTTCTAGATTAAGAATCACATATTTTGGAGGAAGTGGTAGTGTGGAGAAAGTATTAGCTACCTTTCCTTTGCCTTATGCAGACAACCTTTTGAAATAACTAAATTTGTAAGGGGGTGGGGAAAGCAGATTTTGAAGTTAGCACTCCGACGAGGAAACCTCAGTCCAAGAAGGGGCATGGACAAATCTTGGTGGTCAGTGATAAGAGGAAGTTAAATAACTTTCACCTCAGGAAATGCTCTTTCCTCTGTTATCTGAATCTCATTCACATTGGAGGCTTTTCATTAACACAATGTTCCTCTGAACACAGACGGGGCACAGCAAATTGTCTTCCATGTGTGGAGGTGTGCAAACAAGGGCTGGTGTCAAGAAGAGAGCAATCACACTGTCCAGTCTGTCAGGGACCCACACTTGTCCGGCATGGCACTACAGTCGAGCCCAACCTTTTCTATTTCCAGGAAGACATTTCCCATGTACCACACACCATTTAACATCTTCAGCCTCTTTTGATGATTCCCCAGCCTGTGTGGTGGAAGTTGACACTACAACAGTTTTCTCTACCTCCATGAGAGTACCGTCCAGGACGGAGGTTTCCATCTCAGGGGCAGGAGCCAGGTTAGGAGGGCCACTCTTCTCAGAGGACCTGTTCTTTTCCTTAGATTTCTTCTCCTTGTCCATTTTTGCTTTTCTTTGTAGTCGTGTATTTTCACCATCTCCTACAGTACATGTATCCTTTTGATGTGGAAAACATCTTTGAAGGATCCCATTATAATTTTCCACCTTCTGCCCCTTAGTGCTCAGTTTCAACAGCTGGCACCAGCCGCGTACAGTGTCTCGGTGAACGTTGTTAATTGGTGGCAACTCAGTAGGTAATGGAGGAATGTCAGCCTTCTTCCGTGGTTTAGAGTCATCCTGACTTTGTGAACAAGAAGCTTTTTCTACTTTCCTTCTTTTTTTTCTTGGTCTGGTCTCCTCGTTAGGAGTTTCCAGGGAAATTGGCATGCTTGGTTGATTAGCCACTTCTGGCATTCCTTGATTCTCTCTCTAACACAGGCTCAAATTTGAGAATCACATAGTCTTCATCTTCCTGCTCCACGGAATTCTGATTCTCTTGTGAATTCTCCATTGGGACAAACATGAGGTTGATAAAACTTGGCTGAGTTCTAAAATCCACTGTCCAGCTTTTTGATGCACAGCCAGTAACTGTCAAGACCACAGCTCAGATCAGATGCACCTTAGTCTCCAGACTGACATCATTGTTCTTCAGTATTCTCGAGAGGTCCCTGACAGCCAATTTTCTCAATGGAATCCATCTTTTGATTTCCTGGCTGCTGTTGCTAAGGTTTTAAGGTGCAATGATGTCAATTCAAAGACTAATGTGCACTTGATTCAAGCCATGGTCTTTTCAAATACTTGCTATGCATCTGAAAGCTGAACAAAGAATAAGGATAACAAAAGAAGAATTGATGCCTTCAAGTTGTAGTGTTTGAGAAGAGTACTATATATCCCTTGGACTGTCAAAAAGAACAGTCCAATATCTTGGAGAAAGTGTAATATGGGTATCCTTTGAGGTATAGATGGTGAAACTTAGTCTTATATACTTTGGACATGTTGTTTAGGAGGGGTCAGTCTTTGAAAAGTTGTGGATCTGTTGTTTATAGGGTCAGCATGGGTTGTGCTAAAAATACCACCACCACTACCACCACACGCGCGCCCCCGACCCATTTTTATTAAATATATGCTCCATAAACAGCTTATCTTTCTTTTACTGCCTCCATGTGGAGTCTGATTCATAGCTGACCCTTCAGATGATTTCCAAGACAATTTCAATTGCATGAGGTGAGATTACCTAACTTTCTCCTTCAGAGAAGCTGGTGAATTTGAGTTGCTAGTGAAGTGTGGCCTATGGTTTAGGAGGTAATTCTGCAGATAACAACTATCAGAGCCCAAACATTGCAAGAAATATTTGTCCCTAACCATAAAATTGGAGGGTTCTCCCCCCTTTCTTCAGGGTAAATAAAAGTTCTGCATGTTTACCTCAAGATCTTACCTTTTTCCTTTCCCATTGTTTTTTTTTCCTCCTTTTTAATTTCTGCCACCATTTTTTCCTTCTCTTTAGCTTTTTGCCTTTCCCTTAACCTCCCTTTTCCCCCATTCTATTCTGATTCTCCTTTCTTTTGTATCCTCCTCCCCTTAGTTTTGGTTTTTCTTTCACAGTCCAATGCCATTTATATTTGTTCTGTGCTGTTTTACTTTTTCTCATCTGGCAACAGACAGCGACAATATCCTCAAAGCTAAGTCATGCACATTTCCTGCAGCTTCAACTACTGAGCAGAAGTAAGACTGGCTCTGGGCAACTTGACTGATGAAAGACTGCAACCAACACCAGTTCTCAACTGCTTTACACAATCAGTGAACAGAGAAATGCATACATACCTCCATCTCCTACCATACCCACCTCAAGACAGGTAAAACACTAAGAACGGCCAAACTAGCAAACTGAACCACTACATCCTTATGGCTCTGCCAAACATATCAATACAAAATTAAGCAAAGACAACACAGTATACTACAAGAATACTACAGTATTCTAGAGGCATAGCTTAACTTTAAGAACTGGGAAAAAAGTGACCAAAATAAGCCAGAAAATCTTTCAGAGGAAGAAATACTGTTAGAATTTCCTGATAAGGAATTAAAATTATAACAATTAAGGGTTTCCTACGGATTATTAAAAAGCACAGAAAACATACAAGTGGGGGAAAAAACAGCCAAAACAAAAAATCCAACATAACAAAACAAACAATGTAAAACTAAACAGAAAAAATTAAAGGAAAATTAGAAGCCATACAAAAACAGCAAAGTAAAACTCAGAATATCAAGACTAAAATTTCAGAAATAGTTAACATATTGGAAAGACAAAGGACTGGAACTGAAGAAATGGAATACATAATTAGTGAACTGGAGGTCAAATCCTTAAATACTGAAGTACTAGAGGAACAATCAGAAAACAGAGGAAAGAGAAATGAAGAAAGCTAAGAATTATGTGGGATTCCAGCACATCAACAGAGTGCAGGCTGGGTTTAGATGGGGCCATAGTACTAGGGATATTATAGCTAATGTCAGATGGACCTTGGCTGAAGGCAAGCATCACCAGAAGAATGTCTGGTCAACTCTGAGAAGAATGGGACTCCCAGAACACTTGATTTTGTCAATGTCAAATCTATACTTACACCAGGAGGCAGTCGTTAGAACAGAGCAAGGAAACACTCACTGCATGGTTCAAAATTGAGAAGGGTGTACGACAGGGATGTGTCCTGTCTCCATACCTTTTCAACCTGTATGCAGAACAGATTATACAGGAGGCTGGGCTCTATGAGAAGTGTGGCATCAGGACTGGAGGAAGAATCATTAACAATCTGCATTATGTAGATGACACAACCCTGCTTGATGAAATGGAGAACCTGAATCACTTGCTGTGGAAGGTGAGGGACTGCAGTCTTCAGTATGGATTGAGACTCAATATCAAGAAAACAGAGATTCTCACCACTAAACCAATTGGTAGCATCAGGATGGATGGTGAAGAGATTGAGATTGTTCACAGTTTTGGTTTGCTTGGCTTCACAGTCAATACTCTGGGCACCAGCAGCCAGGAAATGAAAAGATGTATTAAGAGACCTCTCTAAAGTGCTGAAGTGCAAAGATGTCAGTCTGGAGACTGAGGTGCATCTGATACATGCCATGGTCTTCGCAATCACTTGCTATGCATTAGAGACCTGGACAATGACCAGGGATGATAGGAGAATTGATGCCTTTGAGTTGTGGTGTTGGAGAAGAGTACTGAATAAACCATGGACTGCTAGGAAAACAAACAGGTTTGTCCTGGCGAGGGTGACACTGGGCTGCTCCTAGGAGGCAAGGATTCTAGAGCTTCAGCTGACATATTTTGGACATGTTGCAAGGAAGGACCAGTCCTTGGAGAGAGACATCATGCTTGGGAGGGTGGAGGGACGTGCAAGAGAGGAAGACCCTCAACGAAATGGATTGATTCAGTGACCGGGTAGGTGTTTCGGAGATGGTGAGATTGGCACAGGTTAGGGCAGAGTTTAGGGCTGTTGTACATAGGGTCGCTATGAGTTGCAGGTGACTCGACGACACATAACAACAACAGGAACACCATTAGGAGGAATAACTTGTGATTAGAATTACAGAACAGTAAGACTCCAATAGAAGTGGGCACAGAGAAAATCATGGAAGATTTGCTGGAAGAAGAGTTCCATGTATTATGGGAAACTAGAAAATATACATCCAAGAAATTGGGAAAATCTCAAACAGAAAAGACCCCAAAAGAAAAACACCAAGATATTATGATATTTGGTACCGTAATTAAAATTTCCAAATTAAAGACAAAGAATGCTGAAAGAAGCTCAAGAGTGGGGGGGTGGGCGGGAAGTTACTCAAAAAGGAGAGCCAAAAAGACTAAGCTTCAATTTTCCAGTAGAAACCATGCAGGCAAGATGGCAATGTGCTGACACTTATAAAAGTTTGAAAAATAAGATGCCAACCAATAATTAAAACCCCTCAAATATGATGGTGTGAAATTAGGGTATCTCTAGGTATACAGAAACTTTAGGACTTCGTGAAAATCACACCAACCTTATAAAAATATACCAAAAGGAGTTCTTCAGACAGAGACTCAGTAACAACAGACAGATGTTGTTGTTGTTATGTGCTGTCAAGTCGCTTGTGACTCATAGCAACCCTATGTACAACAGCCCTAAACTCCGCTCTGTCCTGTGCCAATTGCACCATATCTGATACACCTATCCCAATTGCCCCAGTCACTGAACCAATCCACCTCATAGAGGGCCTTCCCCTCCTGC